AAAAAAGGAGCTCCGGTGCCCTCGCAGACTAGCCTGGCCACCTTAAGTGCATTTGCAAACAAACTATTTTGTGAATCATTATTATTTGTCCTCTTGGTAGAAATAGTCTCAAGGGAAACTCAGCTCTGGGATAACTCTCTCTGGATCTGAATCAGCACGTACTGTACATTTATTTGCTAAATTTGATGCAATGTAAAATTGAAACTGTTTAATTTTTGTGCCTCAGCCTCGAACTCAATCAAAATGCCACCTAGAGCGCGTGTACGTGGACCGGCAATCCGGACAGAAGGCCAAGGTTCGGAAGCAGACTTACGACGACAATTTCCGAACGAGATCCCCTTTAACATTGGCCCGCAAGATGATCAGTGTTCTGCTTGCGGAGCTTTCAGGTGGCGAATTGAACGTCGACGCAAGGATGCAAATCACTTAACGGCAGTTTATTCTAATTGTTGTCAACAAGGAGCAGTTGATTTACCATTGCGATATTTTCCTGAAGACATTGGAGAGCAAATTCCTGAATTTTACCAAGCTCTTTTAATTGGACAAGATGATGGTTAGCACCATTACTGAGTAGTAATTCCCGAACTAATCAAAACACTGATATAGTGCTTGCATTTTAAATTCAGAGTTGGAAACATTTCGCACGCTTATCCAGAAGTACAACAATGCTTTATTGTTCACTTCTCTGGGGGCGAAGATCGATAAGACAGTTGCGGGTCAACGAGGAGTCTACACCTTTCGTGTCTCTGGACAGCTATCTCATTTGATTGGATCTCTCATTCCACTGCCCGAGGAAGCACCAGGCTTCGCGCAAATTTTTACTTATGGTGGAAGCGATCACAATGAAGCCAATCATCGGATCCGACAATGTCGTAAAGAGCTCAATCCGCGAATCTTGATGCAATTCCAAGACTTTTTGAACGAGAACAACCCTTATGCCCAAGTGTTTCGGTCAGCCGCTGCGATTTGCAACGACGGGAATACTCGAACACTCAGGATCAAGACAATCACAGCCGCCGGAACAGATCACCGTCGTTATAATCGACCTACTTCGAATGAAGTTGCGGCTATTGTGGATGGTAATGGCGAAATTGGCGCGCACCCACGGGACATTATTTTACAAAGGCAATCAGGGGATCTGCAGCGGATCTCTGAGTTGCACACTGGTTATTTTGCATTGAGGTACCCTTTATTGTTCCTATACGGTTCACAAACTTGGTCTGATGCATACAGAAATGAAAATGAAGAAAGTGAGTATATGACTCAGTTTTTTTGTTTTTGATATCAAGTTCTGTCGCGCTAAGTACTTTGAAATTGTGTTGGCCTTGCGACTCAACTACACCGTTCAGATGTGACAGGTGATATCACAAACCTCGAGTGGTTTGCGTACTTATTGTTCAAACGACCGGCCTTTTCAGTGATCCTGGCTGCTGGACGCCTATTTCAAGAGTTTGTCGTAGACATGTACTTATGCGTTGAGCATTCGAGGCTTCAATACCTTCGTTTCCATCAAAAGGAGATCCGTGCTGCCCTTTACAGTGGTGCGATAGAAGCATTGGGTAATGAAGCTCAAGACAAAATTGTTGGCAGAAGAGTTGTTTTGCCATCAAGCTTCATCGGTGGTCCTCGGCACTTACAACAATTATACCAGGATGCGATGTTGTTAGTGGCAGAGTATGGGAATCCTAGCCTGTTTATCACGATGACCGCGAATCCACAGTGGCCCGAAGTTCTTGAATCGCTTGATCCTGGACAATCACCAGAAGATCGACCTGATATAATTGCGCGAGTATTTTTCCTCAAGTTGCAGACCCTGCTGGAAGATGTAACAAAGAGGGAACGCTTCGGGAAGTGTACAGCTCATGTTTATTCAATCGAATTTCAAAAACGAGGATTGCCTCATGTGCACCTGATTCTGTTTCTGGACCGAGATTCAAAGCCAGAAACAGCTGAAGAAGTGGATGCAATTGTTTCGGCGAGTCTTCCAGATCCTGCGACTGAGGCGGAGCTTTTTAACTTAGTAACTCAATTCATGCTTCACGGTCCATGTCAGGATTATAAGTGTTGGACAGGGTCAAAGTGTAAGTTGGGGTATCCCCGTCCTTTTCTTGAAACGACAAACGTACGCGATAACTCCTACCCAACTTACAAACGTCCCAACAACGGACGATTCTGCGACAAGGCTGGTTATCGCTACGACAACGGTTCGGTAGTTCTGTACAATCGGTTCCTGCTTTTGAAATACGGCCGCCACATCAACGTAGAGGTAGCAATCAGTATCAGAGCTATCAAGTACCTTTTCAAATACATTTTGAAAGGGCACGATCAAACAATTGCAAATTTTGAGGATGAGGACCGTGTAGATGAAATCTTGGCTTATGTGAATGTGCGTTTCTTGAGTGCCCCAGAAGGTTCGCTTTGATTTTTCGCTTGGTAGTTTTTTGAGTTGTTCCTGATCTCATTCTGTTTAGCTGTTTGGCGACTCTTGAAATTCCCCATCGCAGGCCGACACCCGGCAGTACAACAGCTTGCCATCCACCTGGAGAACGAGCAAATTGTGTACTATCTCGACGAGCGAGGAATCCGAGCTACTATGGAAACTGGAAGAGCAGATAGGACTACACTAACGGAATTCTTCCGTCT